AGGGTGGGTGTCATTAAGTAATTAGTGTAGCACGACTCCTTCACTGTAATACCTAATTGTAATATGTTCCATATTAATTAATAAAGATTTACAGCGTATAAGCAATTTACAAAAAAAAAAAAAAAAAAAAAAATTTTTTAATTATTTAAATTATTATTATGAATATTTTTATAACTTATAGTAAAATATTATTTAGGTGATTTTGTAGTTTATAAAGAATCTGCAAAAAATAGAATTGGTCGAATTTTATCAATCATTCAAAAAGATGGCTACCTTAACATTAATATTCAGCGTATTTTAATATTTGAAGAATTACCAAGAAATTTGCAAAGTAATAGTCATAAAGAAAGATCAATAAAAGGTGAAATATGGATGTTAGATCGAAATGTAGATAATGCAATTAAAACTATAGAACTGCAAATAATTATTAAACGTATTATAGTTACAATTTTATATAATAATAATGTAGATAAAGATTCTTCAATCACAATTTGTGAAATATTATACAAATATAATAATAAATGGAAAATAAGAGATATTATTCATTCTTACAAGCATCCTTCAGAATTTGCTATGTTAAAAGAGTCTACTTCAAGCCTTCCAGTTTATAAATTATATATAGATATCTATTACGATGATTTTGGTACTTTTCACAATGTTTATCATTCATTAGGTGGTGTTTATATTCAAATAGAAAATATACAATTTGATCAAAGAAAACAATTAAAAAATCATTTTGTACTTGGATTTGTGCCATTTGGCGGTTCATTTAATGAATTTATTAGCCCTTCTATTACTGAAATAAAACATTTAGAAGAAGGGAAAATAATGAATATACAAGGTACTAAAAGCCTTGTAATTGCAAGTCTTGAAGAAATAACTTCTGACTTGCCACAAGGAAATGATCTAGTCGGAATTAAAAAGCATAATGCTACAAAAAGTTGTCGTACTTGTAGTATAAACAAAATTTTTGGACATCTGATTATGACTTATTATTAAACTCTCACTATCAACATCTTATGGATAAACAATTTGAAGAAATTGTTATAGCATCAACATTAATAGAATATAAAGAAATCTCTACAAAATATGGATTGCATTTATGTTTACCAATATTAAATCAATTGCGATAGGAAAGACATTTCCAATCACCACATGATGTGTATCATTCTACTAGTGGTAAAGTGTTAAAGCTTCTTAAAATGACAACTGATGCTTTTTTAGTAGAAGGAAAATCTGCTTTTATTGCAGTTTGGAAATTATTTGAATATCCAAAAAACTGGTCTAGATTGCCAAATCTGATAACTCATATAGATAGTTTTATGATGTCTAATTGCTTAAGATTAGCAATGGTGTTTCCTTTTATTATGAATAAACTTTTAAAGATTCAATATTTTAAGCAATCTGAGATTTACAAATTGCAACAGCAGCTAGACCTTTCACATAATGATTTGGCTATAAAAGTCTAGCTAAAATGTTGGCTAATAGTATCAAAAACAATAGCAATTTCATTTAAAAAATATTTTACAGAAGAAGATTGATTATGTTGAATTGCAAGAATGTTTGGAAAATAAAAGAAAAATTCTAGCACAAGTATCAAAAATATATTGGCTAAATAAAGAGTTTTGTATATATACTAATTTAATTCTACTATTGTTAATATTAATAGTTATTTGAAGACTTTGAAAATCTTCCAAATTTACATATTAATTTTCATATGACTTTGCATGCTAGAAATTATGCTAATTTGTTAAATATTGGTGTAGGAACAAAGGAAATGGTACATCGAATATTTAAGAATATTGTACTATGAACCAATCGAAAAAATATAAATTTAGACCTACTAAAATACTATAATACATTATTTGCAATCTGGCACTTACTAGATGGAGGCATAGATATGCGTTTCCCATCTTCAAGCAATGCTTTAATTAATCTTTTATAGTATTTACAGCACCTAATGAGTAACTGGTTTATTTTTAGTAAAACTGATGATGCTGAGGATAACATAAATGAAGGTATAATAACATAGTTTAGATAAGGCAATAAGTTAGTTCTTAACTATAATTTTATTTATAATTTGTTGACAGATAACTATACTAAAATTTTATTGAAAAAACGAATTCCACAAAGAAATATTGAAAACTTGATACCACCAGATTTTAAAGAACAATTGGAATTATGTTATGAAGATTTAGGATGTTCATCTACGATTTTTAACAGCATTCCATTATTTTTTGAATATGCAAATTTTTATATTGAGAAGGACAACTTGTCTGTTTAATGCCATTTACATGTTGGGGATGTTGTTGCAGTTAACTCTGAATATGATGAAGTAAGTTTTTCGATTGTACATGCACTATTTCGTCATAAGAAGGATAAGCATTATCTCACTTTTATTATTATTGACTGGTTCGAAAGTACAAACCAAACAAAGCTAGGCTGTCCATTGTATAGACTGGAAACAACAAATTGTTGCCAAAAAATCTTTCCTGTTAGTGTGGTTAAGGCAGTTAATACAGTGCACTTTGTTCACAATTGTAAAGATGAAGAATGTATTGAAGGTCAACCAAATGATTTATATATTAGAAATTTATACTTTTTTAAAGCTATTTAACTTCAATATATTATTTTATGTGTACAGAATAATAACTTATATATGTATTACTTGCAGTAAAAAAGAACACACTTTATCTGAAGTATTATAACAGAAAAAGTCTTATCTAAACTAAACAACTTAGCACTATAATTTAGAATTTTTTTTTTTATCGCTTTCAAATTAGATTTAGATTACATATAATTTCGAGTATAAGAGTAATGGAAAAGGCTACTTGAATGCTAGTTATATCAAATTAAAGCTAAATGACTATATAATCTTCAGAATTTTATAAAAAAAAAGTATTAACTTTCGATAAGCACAGAAATAGATACGTATATACACTTATAGAAGGAAAAACATAAATTGTTCTATCATTTTTCATCAACATGCTTTTATTAAGGGAAGTCACAACAAAGTACACTTATAGAGGGTGCATCTTTTTTAATTAATTTGTATAAAAAGGAAACATAAATAATGCTTTTTATACACCTTAAATATTAAAAAAAAAAATAACGCTTTTTATACATATATATATGTTAGATGTCACTTTCAAATTTCCGTCAATTAAAAATTGATGTACGTAGCTTCGAAATTGTAAATTAAAGTACTTTATATTTTAATCGGTATTATTAAAGTACTTCATATTTTAATCGGTATTGGTGATAAAGAGTCTAAGAAAAATCTTTACAATGAGTTAAAAAAAGAATATTACGAGTGGTTAGGTGTAGCGGGAATTAATCCTAATAATTGTTCGCTAGAATTGGGACACTTTTTGTTTGAAATTAATAAAATACTGGAAGGTAGGGTGATGAATTAGAAAGAGACATAGAAAATAGAAAGTGGAAGATTGATCCTAATTCTGTTGAGTATAAGCAAGCATTCAGTAATTTGCAAATAGTTTTATCGATTAAAAAAAAATCCACAATGCAAATCAAATTATTTTTATTAAAAATTGTATTTACTTCCATTACGATTAAAATCCACAAGTTGAAGATTAAACAACTGCTAAGCGCTATATGATTTTTGCATATACCTTGGCAAATACAACTACAACAAAAAGTACAAAGAGCATGGTTCTTATGACAAGACAACTCCTACTTTGACAATTTGGTTTATTACAATGACATCCATCATTTTTCTTTAAACCTTGTTCAGTTTCTTGGTTGGATGTTTTATTTGTAATATTTAGTGGTCGGGTTAAGTTTTATTGAGCACCAGCATTTCGTAAAGAAATAAATTTGCCCATTGAAATTACATCAAGTTTAGGAAATTCATTAGTACCTAAGAGTTCTAATTCGTTTGCTAAAAACTATGTATCCAAAATTCCAAACTTGCTTCCAACTTGATATGAGTTGCAATACTCGTCTATCCATTTTTAGTCTAGGTTTCCACATCTTTTAGTTTTATGTCATTTTTTTATTAAGATTATAAATCATTTGACGGTTCTGAGTAATATGTCGATTTGCTACTATGATTATATTTATTAGATTTAACATCCAGTCCATTGATACTTCCAACTTTAATTAATTTAAAGGTATCAAGAAGCCAATATTTAAAGTTTAAATATTCATATTTACTTGATGGGTTTCGTAAAATAGCCAGACAACGATCATACTTTGGACGGTTTATTATATGTTTTTCGTTTTTCTATTGTTGATATAATCATCAACGATTTTTTGAAAGCTTTGAAATGAAAGAAACGTAAAAACTAGCAAAGAATTTGAAGCCATATTATGAAAGAATTTTTTTATAATCAATCAAATTTATTAATCTCTTATATTAAACTTGATTTTAATTGACGTAAGTACATACATTACATATTAATAGTTTAATTTTTAATAAATTACGTATGTTACAATTTAAGAGCAACGTACAACATATATATATATAGTATTTACTGTGCTCACATTACAATCAGGGATATTACAGTATTTCGATCAAATAGTTACTATCACTAATCAAACGTAGATCACGTGACAGATTACAGAATGATTTACTATATAAGAATTTTAAAATTTTTTTATCTCTATTTCGAAATATTGAACTCAAGCAATTTATTTTAATAAAAAGATTACTAATATACATTTATTTGTTTTTCTATTTATAAAACTACGAAAGTTTTTAAAGTTAGTAAAACTTTTCTTTACCTCACCTCCATGGTCCAGATTCTTTTGTCAAACAAACTTTTTTAGAGAGATAATCTATGTAAAGTTCTATACGAACAATATTAAAAAAGCTGGGTATGGAGGTGTGGTGACTTAGTGTAGTGGTCTAGTCGTTACCCTCTCCAAGTAGCAGGTCTAGAGTTCGAATCCCACGGACAACGATTTTTGAAAATTGGGCTTGTGTTCGGTTAATGGTTATGCTTATTGGTTGGATCTAATCTGTAACTTCGGTCACACCATCTAGTAATGGGAGCAATGGTGCAATAAATCCGAAGAACCGGCATAACCGAAAACCAATTTGGGAAGTTCCAAGTTAGGAGTAGCAGTGATCTATGATGGTATCACAAGAGGGCTGAATTCGAACTGGGGCCCGAGATCAGAGAACTAAGCAACCAGGTCCTAATGGTGGAGGACACACCAGCCAAACTGCCGGGTTGTCGCACCGGAGGAAAAGGACATACACTTCGAAAGTATGTACCAAGGGGAGGGCATCCTTCAGGCACCTAAAGTCTAGGCAGACCGACCTTTTTGAGTTGCCGGCTGGAAGTAAGGGAGAGACCAATAAAGAATTTGGGTAAGAAGACGGTCTAATTGCGGGTACCAGGGTTGTTGTAAACCTATACAAGGGTGGAAGTAGGTAATGGTCTAATTAGGAAGATTGTGGTTGTCAGATTGGGTAGCGGCAGCACCCTTAGAGGTGGCTTGAGATACAAACTTGGTTCGGTAGCATAATTAGTACTAGTTAGATAAGGGTTCAATGGTTAGCCCTGACCTCGAGTACATAGATCAAGCTGTGGCGGTAAGTTACTGAAGCCTGGGTGAATACATGGGTAGGACATGTACTCTAGCAAAAATTTAGTCACCGGCTTCAATGTTGAGGTTCGATGCAGTTTCACGATTAAGTGGTGTGGCTATCACATCTAGGGCTTAGTAAAGCAACCGGGTGGGGTCAGGTGTTTCAGTAATCATTAGTTCTATGGTACAGGCACCTGTCGTTTAGAAATAGTTCTCATATGCTATTTGCCAACAGGCTTAGAGTTTATCACTTACCATTTATATTAGTTAGCTAGTATCATTTGTACACATGAATTAATTACTAAAATAAATACCTGGCAAGATACGCCAAAGTTAAAAAAAATAAATAAAAAATAATACAATATTTTATCAATTTTATCATTAATACTTGATTGGTTTATAGTTATGTGATTTTGCCAATCTCTATATTAGACACCATTGGACTAGACTATATTCAATTTATATATCCAACATCTATATTTAGTTCAATGATATAAAAACAATTGAACATATATCTAGAGCTAACACTAAATTAGGTCAAATATGTTGTAATTTGAAGGTTTAAATATCACTACCAAAGAGGTTACCTTTAATATTAAAAAAAAAAATAATACAAAATACTAGTTTGTTTTTTTAAAAAATTGATTAGTAATACTTAGCAATTTATAATATAATAACAAGAATACAAATAATTAAATTAAAAAAATCTATAACTTAAATTGTACTAGGATATTTGTATTTAAAAAATCTAATAATACTTGTATAATCTAATTAATTGGTAATCTATCAGTCAATCAAAAAGTGATTATAGTAAAATATGACTCAAATTATTTATAAAAATTGAGAGTCTCTAAATGTAGCATGCATACCACATTTAGAGACTTTCAATTTTTATAAGTAATCTGAGTCACATTTTACTATAATCACTCTCTAGTTGACTAGTAGATCACCAATTAAAATCTAAAGGTATAAATAAATACAAACTGGCTTGTATAATACAAACCTATAATAAGTTCAAAGAAATATTTAAATTTTAGGATTATTAAAAGATGTGCCATTTATTATATAATTTTTATTCATTATAGATCCAAACTCCTTTTTCTCTAGATAATAAAATTTGTAGCCAATTATAACATTTATATTTAATATATCAACATAATAAATTGCTAACTCTTTATTCTTTTCTAAAAAATTATATAATAAATAACACTTCTTTAAAGGTTCAAAAAACTCACTTAGAAAGTTTTAAATTAGAAGATAGCAAAATAAAAAATGAATTAAGAACTGAATTGGAGACTTGATAATTAGGGCAGTATCATTTATCACCTAATTTTTTTATCAGTGGCTTATCCCCTTTAGTTTTTAATATATAATTTATTAGGTCTTATATATAAAATTTCAATTTTTTTAACTTCTTCTCTAGAAAATTATCTGATAATTGTCAGCTCCCTTATAACCTTTATAGATTTGAGATTATACTAATTTGGCTACTAAAATTGCATTAAAAAAAAAGAATATATACTTTGAAAGTATATATCAAAAAGAGTATATTATCCCTTAAACTATATTCCAGGCAAATTTGCCTAGAATTTTGAAAAGTATTTATAATTTTTTAAATAAAATTAAAAATTATTAATGATATAAAGTATAATTTATATATACAATATTTTATTTAAAACATATTCTATAAGCTTTATTATGAAATTTTTTTAATTTTGCTAGAAATCTTTAGAGTAATAAAAGTTTAAAACTCTTACTTTAAAAATTTTTACTATTAAATTTTTCTTTAAATTTTCTAAATTTTTATATGTTTTTGCCTTTAAAAAAATTTTTACTTCTAATACAAGTCATAATTTTTATAAGTAAATTACTAAAGATGTAATAATGAAAGTTGCTATCCTTTATATAAACTACAATATTGTATTAAGAACTATAAACTTAAAATTAATATTTAAAGAATTCATCAAGAATTTGTAAAAAAATTTTTGCATTGAAGTTTTAAAATATTTTACATCCAAATTTAATAAACGTGGTTTTTTCTAAAGGTGCTAGAAGTTT